TTGATCAGTAGTCATACTGAGGATTATATAACAGAGATATTAATAACTGTGATTAAAAATGACTATTAAGATATTAGTTTCAGTCTTTTTACAATTACAACTGATAATACTGTGAATAACTACACTATAATGAACAGCTTGAAGCAAAAATTGACTTTGCATTTCTGAAATGATAAATAAGGTCATATTCCCTGCATTACTCATATGATTTAACTTGTGATATAAACACTGATAAAGAATCTTAACATTGAGATGAAGAATAATGAGATAACTGATTCTTGAAATGAGAATGAGATGAAAGTGATTACTCAAGTAACTTTTACATTCACTTTATAAAAGATAATGTTTTTTGATAACACTTTTTAATATTATTTTTTAATAACACTTTTTGATAATACTACTGTTAATTTTGAATAGATTGACTAATAATTTAAATATCACAGATTTAAAACATTGCTAATATAATTTGTATCTTCTCTAAACAATAATAATAATTTCATGATATTCAATAAATAAATAAATCAGTCACATCACTGAATATGATACAGAATATTAGAACACAGTGAAGTTCAATATATAAGATAACTATTCAGACTCTTTGATTATATCAGATGATTGATTATTGAGTGTAACACTCTGATTAGAAAAAGATTCAGATATTGAAACTTTCTGATATGAAATGAACTCAGTTGAAATATGTGATTGATTTACTGTTTCAGTTTTATAAGATAACAAAGACAGTCTCAATTACTCATATATCAATACTGCAGTCAGTCTGATAAGTATATAACAGTTTATTTACTCATCTTGAGAAGCAGTTAAATCACTTAAAAAGAAATTCAGTCTGAGATAATACTATAGTGCAGGCTATTATTACTGTAAGAAATAAACTGGTATATTATTACAGCAAAACTGAACAATCTTTTACAGAGTACTATGCTATAGCAGCTCTACTAGATCTCTTCTGTTGAGTTAATATCTACACTTCTCAAGATTGAACAGAGAAGAAATGAGACTCATATATTAAATTAGTCTGAGACTACTATAATATCAACTATCAGAGATTTGAATGAGCAGATGTTTGAGATGTGAAGACAGTGAAATACAATTTTCTAGTAAGTAATAATCTTTGATAACACTTCATATCTTATAGAACTATAATACTAACTTTGAAACAGAACTTGTATACATTGATTACAACTGAAAATCAGGTAAAACTATATACTTATAAAACTGAATTTAACTGCTATCTTCAAGATGATCTGATGAATTTACACATCAAATCAATTCTAGAGTTATAAAAAATTGTTGAGAGTATATATTCAACTGTTGCACTGATAATGTGTGATATTCTAGCAATTTCATTGACAGAGATGAAAATGAAGTGAAAGTTCAACTCAAGTTGAGATATTTATCACTATTATCAGAGACAATTATAAGAAGAAATAATCAAGAAACTCATGATTGTAAAATATGAAATTATCAGATAGTTTAATACCTCTGATCACAGTATATCAGAGAAGTGTAGTTTTCATAAGAAAGTGAAGAATAAACTTGTATAAGAATGTATTTAGTTATTTCATGAGTATTATCAATAATTGTTATCAAATTCTGATTATATAAGCAATCACTGAATGAACTGAATAAGACTGATTTTAATCTTCAGTCTCAGTCTTATTCTGATTTTGAAAGAATGATCATCTTTCACAGTTTATTCTGAGAAATTACTCTCATTTCACTGTTCTTGAATTAAATCTGATCATTTTTCATGCTATTTCTCTCAGAAATGATTCATTTTCAGATTTTTTTAAGACTTGGTCCTGGTGAGACTCACGTCAAGAAATGTATGAGATCAGACTAAATGAGATCAAATGTGAAATTCATGATCTCATCAGCCAGTCTAGTTATAGCTATATGAAAATGTAGATAATTACACATGAAATGTATAAGATAACACTCATCATTATAGCACTGTATAGAGTCATGTGTGATATTTATATATAGATATTTAAATGATATTTAAGATCTAATATAAAAATATCTAGATATTTGATTTTTTGCATTAGATAGATAGCAGAGTTTGCAAAGCTCAGTGATAAGCTCATCTACAGTATCTTCTAGATTAATGATTTAAACATCAGTTGTATTATTTATAAGCTTTTAAATAATAATTTTTAATAAATGTTCTAATCTCTTATATTATGTTGACTGAGTAGCTATAGAGATCTTAGGTTTTTAAGAAGGTTTTATATATATTGACAGATTAGAAAAATGATTTATTGAAGTATATATTAACAGATTAGAAGAAGAATTTGTAGAAGTTGAAGAATTTAAAGATATTATTTTTTCAGATATAGTAATATTAGATGTGTGTGATGTAATAGCTGCATTAGCTTTAGTAGTGAATTTTTCTGAGATAGTTGAGAAAACAGCTGTTTCACTATTATATTCTGTAACTAGCAATTTCTTAAATACTTTAACACATGCAAAGATTATATTATCTGCACATTTTCACAATCTGAAGTCTTTTTCATTATAATAGATGCCTTCTATATGAAAACATGGTTTTCATGTGATGATATTTATATGAAAATTCAGTATGTAAGCTGTATTGATAAGATTGACATTGAACTGCTTTTCTACTTCATTTATTATAATAGTTCTAACAGTTTTATAATCTTTAACTTTAATACTAAAATTGTCTGTATAGACTTCTGCATTCTTATTCACAGATGTAAAGAATAGGAAATATATTCAATTATTGTATATATACTGTTTCATATCAGTATCAAAGATTCAGAAGTTTCAGAGATAGAAGTGAGAATGTAAAGAGTTTATTAATATTTTTCAGATTTACTGATTAATAGATTGATGATTGATAGATTGATAATCTGATTACTTTAAAATCATTTCTTCTAAAACTGCTTCATTGATATCTACTATATCTGTATTTATTAATAAATCTCTTGATAATGCATGATTAATACATCTCTTCAATTCTTGATTTTTAAGAGCTTGATTGATCTGAGTTCTCTTCTTCTTATTTTCCTTTCATTCAGATAACTTTCTTGATAAATTAAGATAGTAGCACTGAGTGTATTAATGACAGACTCTGCAGATACAGTTTTTAAATGTCACTGATAATAATTACTGAGATCTTTCATTAAGAGTAGCAAAGTTCATAAATTTATCTTCTTTAAGAATACTCATTTCTCTATACTATTTCTTGAAGTTCTTAACTAACTCTATCAAAGATATAATATCTTTATCATATCAGACATTCTTAACTCATACTTGTATATAATCTGTATCAATAGCTAGATTTATATTTAAGAAATCTTTCTTCAAGTTGAACTGTTCAGCTATATTCATCTCTTTGATATTATCTTTAATAAGAGATTAGTTATTTAATCACTTCTCTATATCTCTGTTTTTCAGTGTTTTGCAGAGATTATAATATCAGGTTCTCACATTATCTTAATAGTCTGTAGTTGTGAAAGAGAGACAATCTCTTAATAATTGAATAATGTTCTTTATATCATCATTCTCACTGTATACATGTTATAGCTCTGTGACATTCACTGTTTTTCATATAACATCTCATATCTTTATCATACCTTCATTCAATTTTTTATATTTCATATATTTAATTTTTCATGCAGTGACTTTGATATTATATACTATCTTAGTCTCTGCAGTGACTTCTTCTGAACACTCAGGTTTCAGAGATTCTTCTAGTTCAGAGAAGATATCAGATTTATTAAGATTGATAAAGTCTGATATCTTCTTATTCTTTACATATTCTAGTATATACTTGTATCAAAGTTTTCAATCTTCAGAAATGCTAAGATGTACAGTTGCATTAGACATTGTCTTATCTGTTATATCAGTTATATTGAATGAATTGAGAAATCAGTTCAAGTATTTATGAATATGATCAGAAATCAGAATGTATAACAGTTAAGTATATTGAAATATATATAAGTGAGAATTTATCATCTCAGTTTAAATGATAGTTATCAGTTTGAATGAGAATTGAGATTGATATATAATATAACAGTTGAGTATTTCAGACTGTATATAAATGAGAAACAATTATCTCAGTTTGAATGATTGTTGTCAAATTCAAATGAGAATTGAAATCAGTGATGTATCATGCTTCTCTTCAGATACTGCTTACTGAGAATCAGGTATGACAGTTAAGTAGATCAGACTATATATGAATGAGAATCAATTGTCTCAGTTTGAATAATTATTGTCAAATTCAAATAAGGATTGAGATTAATATATCATACTTCTCTTCAGATGCTGCTTATCAGGCTCATAACTGTCAGATTAAGTGTCATGAATGAATATGTTGAAGACATATGAATCTTATTTATATTAAGATCTGCTTATTATATTATCTGTACACTATCTAATATATCTATTTCATACAAAAGATGGAGCTATTTATAGTAAAATATATGTGTGAGCCAAGAGAGCTAGCATAAGCGAGTATTAGACAAGTGTTGTAGTAAGCTGATGATGATGAGAAATATTGTAGTAATACGATGTTGGTGGCGTTCAGTAGTGTATAACCTCTTTTTCCTGACACTACCGTTAGCCATTCTACAAGCTGCAAATTACATCAATGAAACTGACGTGTCCTTTTCGACGAACTCTCCATTCTTCAGAATCAAGAGGCAGACATGGTCGAACTATTGAGTCAAGACTTCGAGGATGACTGGAGATACGCAGAAATCAAGAATCCAGTGGCTGCCACTTGTGGTACCAGATGCTACAACCATGCACATGCTTGCAAAATCTACACTTATACAAAGAAATGCTGTCGCTGGTGTTCACCTTTTTTGAAATCTAGATAGAGGTATTAGGTCACAATCACCCTCAGTCCATTGATTCTTTTAATGAGCTCAGGAGGATGCTAGAATCTTATAAAAAATATTCTTCTCACCGTTTTACACCATCGACATAATCCCCCACCCTCAGGTTATACTGATATGCACTATGTTAGGCTTGGTTCACACTTCTACGGTGGTGCTAGTCGAGAAGACATTGAGTTTTTCAAAGCTTTGTTTTCATTAGACGCAAGTCGACATGATATCGTTGATGCCTTCAATGTACTCGAGGGGTATTGGCAATCCGTCCTGGATCTTCCCACCTCTCTTCCCACCGCCGGTGGAGCACCAAAGGCAACTCGTGCTGACATAACGATGCCTTAAATGCACTTGATGGACCACCGCAAGCTCTCAAACATCCTCGCGCTATACCTCTTAATAAGTCCGTTTCTCCTTGCTGTTGCACTAGAGGATTTCACCCCTCATGTTGGCCAAAGCCAGGATGACAATGCGCTCAAAGTTGAAGATATGGATGAGATAGAAGGCGATGATATTTCTACGTGGGAAAGCTTAACAATTGCCTTAAAGAGCTTGATCTTGGAGGGAAAAAATGCACCTCAAAATTATGCGGGTTGAGCCTGTACGATAGTGGGAAAAACGGGGAAAATGTGTATATGAGAGATAATGTTTTTATGTATGATACAAGACACCAAAGGAACGAAGGAAGTAGCAATGTCTTTTTATGTATATTTTTTCGGGACTTACCAGCCCCCTCCCAAATTCCTTTATTTTATAGCTTTTCTTCTCCCCTTATCGTTAAGCTTTTGGGTTCTTTTCGTTTCTTTTATTTTGCTTTTTTAGCCTCAAGCACCATTATATCGACGCCATTTTGCTCCCGGAAAGAATTTAACCAATTGAGCAGGGGACAGATTCCTTCTTTCCCACCATTGCCTGCGACCCCGCATCTACTAAACCTTGCTGCCCCCTTATTTATTCCCTCTCCCTTATTCGATAATTCAGTTACTCGTCATCATAACCTTTCGGGATCTGTCTTGGGCCGGGAGGAACTAAAAAATGACCGGAAGGGGGAAGGGAAGGAGTATAGTTAGCCATTTGTTTCACAGCAGCAGGCTACATAATTCAAGACACCTTGCCTTGAAGCAAAAGGGAGGCTGGACCAGCTGGTTTTCCAACCGTGGATAGAGACAAGAAACGATAATGTAGAGGGAAGAAGGGAGAAGAAGGCAAAAGCAGAAGCAATTGAAATCACACAACACCATATAGAAACGAAACAAGAAGATAAAAAGAAAAAGTGGTTCGTAGCAAACGTACTTGGATAAGTCAGCGGAATCGGGGCGGGGTCCACGTCGCCAAAATACCGTCGGATCGGCGGGAGGGACACGAGTGCCACAGGGCCTAGCGAGCCGATGATGACGCTGAAGAAGATAGCTGGTTTCTCATGCGCTGCCCATCGCATGTATCGGAAGGGTGTGGACCAGAACTGCGGTGCGGACATTGCGGATGATGAGGGTTGGAGGGCCAATGGCCGACGATGCCCGGGGGAGGTTCAATTGGGCGGTTGTTGAGAAGTTTTACGCAGTAGTCGCGCAATGCGGTGGGGTAGCAGCGCGACTGTAAGAGAGGTTAGATTGAGCGCAGGAGGTTATGCTGGTGATTGTATGTACTGGTAATGCTGGTTGTGGTGGTGTGTGGCGGTGGTGACGGTGACGGTGAACGGTCATGATGATGGGCTTCGGAGATGTTGGTTGCTGCAAAGCTTTTGGATCACACACGCTTGCCGGTCTTGGCGTTCCTGGGACCAACACGTTGCCTGTTCCGCCGACATCTACGACGGGAAAAGACTTACAACATTTCCACGAGGAATTGAGCAGTCCTCCGGCTTTGCATTTCAGGCCATATTTACGCCCCAGCTACGTCCACCGCTAATCTCCCCGTTTTCTTTTTGTCCGCCTCCCCGCGCGGACGGGCCCCTATATCAACAATGCGGTGGCTTCTTTCTCTGCTTCTCGTTGGGCTCTGGGGAGCTGTTGTCCATGCGCTCAGCAGCGATGGCAACCGACTGCTAGCCATTCTAGGCAATGTCACAGACAAGGACTTGTTCTCGACATTCTGGAAGGATCTAGAAGGTGAGATATATATAATTGCAAAAAAATAGGACAAAACAATCGGTTCTATTTGAACTACACCAGCTCACCAATATATATATATAGGTCGGGGATACTCTATATCATTTCAATCACCCAAAGATGAGGGCCTTTCACTATTTAAGCATGGAGAGAGAGCATATGACCACATTGTTCTTCTCCCTCCAAGCAAGGCAAAAGGTCAGTGAGGTTGTGTTGCTGTTGTGGTTGCGCATGAGGATGTTAGATGAGGCGGATACTAAATACAGCGATTGCAAATACAGGACTCGGGCCTGCATTATCGCCCAAAGCGCTGGTCAATTTTATGAACAGCGAAGGAAACATTCTCCTCGCCCTCGCAGGCGGTTCAGCGATTTCCAGCACAATCAGCTCCCTCCTGCTAGAGCTAGATATAAACCTCTCTTCTGACCGCAACGCGCTCGTTGTCGACCACTTCAACTACGACACCCTCTCTTCTCCTGAACAACATGACGTTCTTCTTCTCCCCCGGCCTAAAGCACTCCGCCCAGACCTTAAATCATACTTCTCCGGCGAAGGAGTGGTCGCCTTCCCCAAATCTGCGGGCCAGTCATTGGGAGCTGCCAGGCCGTTACTTGCTCCAATACTTCGAGCTCCTGAGACGGCATATAGCTATGACGCGAAGGAGCAGGAACAGACGGTCGAAGACTCGTTCGCGTTTGGGTCGCAGATTTCATTGGTCTCAGCAATGCAGGCAAGGAATTCGGCCCGGTTAACGGTCATAGGGTCCGTGGAGAGTCTTAAAGACAAGTGGTTCTCGGCCACCGTTAAGGGCCCGAAGGCTGGGGAACAGGCACAGACGGTGAACAGGGAGTTTGCAAAGCAAGTTAGCGCTTGGACGTTTAAGGAGACTGGTGTGGTTAAAGTGGACAAAGTGCAACACTACTTGAGTGCAGATGCGGTTGCGGAATCTGCTCCGTCGAATGAATCCGGAGAACTGAACCCTTCGATATACCGGATAAAGAACGAGGTGGTACGTTTTGGGAAATATCATCTAATCCTTTATATTGTGATATTAGCTAATATCGATACTTTGCTAGACATTTAACATCGAGCTCTCCGAGTACGACTACGACCACTATATCCCCTTCGAAATCCCCGAAGAAGACGCCATTCAACTCGAATTTACCATGCTATCGCCCTTCCACCGCCTCACTCTCAAACCCGTGGCCAAGACCGCAAATAGCACCGTGTACAGCACCTCATTCACCTTGCCCGATCAACATGGTATATTCTCGTTCCGCGTCAACTACAAACGGCCTTTCCTCACCAACGTCGATGTAAAGGAGCAGGTCACTGTTCGGCATTTCGCTCATGACGAGTGGCCCCGTAGCTGGAAAATCACAGGCGGCTGGGTCTGGATTGCGGGGTTGTGGTCTGTTATTGGTGGTTTTCTAGCTTTCGTCGCAGTATGGTTGTATTCCGCCCCCCCAGAAACGGAGGCAAACTGGTCTAAGAAAGTCCAATGATTGCGCATGTTGTGTCTGTGTGTATCTGATATGCATTAATTTGGCATTTGTATTTCAATGTCTATCAAGTTTTCTTTTCTTTTCTTTTTTTTCCTTCGCATTTGGGGCTCTTCTATATTTCTTTTTTATCTTGATGCGGGCTCAAGGACGCAGAGGCCCGAAAATGACGAGGAAAGGTTCAGTTTATGTTCCTATAATGTATTTTAACACTTGTGGTTTATACCTGTCTGTTTTGGCTGTTCCGTTTCATATTTTTTTATACTTTTAGATCCACATAAAAAGAGAAAGAGATGAATTGGTGTCGGGAATGTTAGCAGTCATACCAGTATCTCTATTATAATCAAGCTAGGGAGTTCCTGGTGAAGAAACGATTTTTGGTTTTGGTAACTCATCGCAATGGTCTATAATTATACACTCAATCAAAGGCGCGCTATTTATGTGAGGCGTATCCGTCCGTATGTACTGTACATCATAGCTGGCTTGGTGGGCTCAAAATAGCTGCACAATCATCCCAAAAGAAAAAAAATTCCAAAACGCCAATGCCCCAAAAATGATATGTATCCCGAAGACAACAACGCCGCCTATGGCCCTATGCTTAAGACGATCGATCGTGCCACTCTCATCTCTCATCGTAAAAATATATCATACACTTCCCAGCAGCGCTCTCCTCTTACCATCCCTGCCCTGTCATCGTCCGCTTACCTCCTCCTCCTCCCCCGCCTAGCAAAACCGGCCAAAAGTTACCTCACTCCCCTAACCCCGCAACACTTATAATCCTCTCGTCTTTTCCGGATCCATCTGGACCTCGTCGCCACTGATCTCCTTGACACTTTGGAAGGCGGGTTTGCCGCCATACAGCTGTCCGACAGGCTTCGACTTGTTGATAACTTCGCCAGTTGCGGGGTCGACTTCGCTGCCCAGGGCTATAGGCTGGTTGCCGCGGAACCGTTTGCGCATGTCTACCATCCCTCGTCTGTGTGTGTTTGAGAAATGGAAATTGTTAGCTAGGGAGTATTCGCTTTGTTGATGAGGTGGTCTGTCATGAAGCAAAAAGGACAAAAATGAAGAGGAGAGGTTGGAATTGAAAGATGTGGAATAGGAGAAAGCTAAAACGCACTTGCAATCACTAAGGCCTTTGCGCAGTTGCTGGCATTTCACGGGCAGGGTATCGAGGTAGGGGGGTTGGAGGCACTCTTGCGGTGTTTTGCCTTGGACCATTATACAATCGGATTGCTGCAAGCATTGCGCCAGTGCGAGGCCTACATTAACAGCAGACGTTTTAGTTAGCGATTAGTTAATAGGAGAGAGAGAGATAAGGGAAACTTGGCTCATCCATAGGGATATGAATGTCAAAGGCGGAGCGGAGCGGAGCGCAGGAGGAGCATGGGAATTTGACGCATACGGATATCTTTGCAAGAGCTAGGCATAGTGAATTTATCTCTGTTTCTTCACCAAGGGGCTTATGGCTGAACAGCATATATCTATATTGGTGGGAATCAATCCAAATGCCGTTTTAACAGGCTATATATATTCTTAAAAGATATTGCAGGCGACTCCAGGAAACAGCACGGCGGTTGGGTTCAAGTCTTCATTCTTCTGCGTGGATGATTCCCGCGGTTGAAGGGAGCTAGGCGCTAAATTATAAACAGTCTAGTTGCAAAACTTTATCTGGGTGACATAAGCAACCGGTAGACTTTCCCTTTTTGGGCTTCGGCGCAGTGTTTTTATGACGTCGCGAAGCCATTTGATTTAATAATATCACATCCAACGCAGAACATCATTCCTTCTTGCTCCCCTTTTTACCTATGTTGCTGTAATTTTATACTCTAGGTGTTTGGCCGTGTCGCTGAAAGAGTTTGAAATATGGCTCGTGTTCCATTCATTGGAAGGCTGTTCTGGTGAGTTAGATCGCCTTTGCTAACCGCTTGTCACAGTACCCCTGAAATGTAATTAACGGCGTCTTGGTTGTCCTCAGGAACGAGTATCTAGCCCTATTCAGCTCGCTCGTATTAATATTCATCGAAGGCCTATTACATATCATAACATTCTGTCTTCGTAAGTATCAACGTTATCTTCTACTCCGGAACAATAACTCTGACCTTTTTAACACAGCTCAGCCGATCATACAATTTTGCTATCAGCAGTCTAAGGTCATATTCAAGGTTTTGGCTTCGCCACAAGGGCGCCGAGTACGAGCGCTGCAAACATCAACCTCAGGAAAGATTGCGCGTGCTTCAGACTTTCTAGAACTGTGCTCGCTCTGGGGCTATGAAGCGGAAGAGCATGTAGTGCAAACGGGCGATGGCTATCTTCTTGGTTTGCACAGACTGCCGCGGAAGAAAGGCGAAAGCTTCTCGAAAGCTAACGCTTACGACGGCACCCGTCAGAAGCCAGTAGTTTATCTGCACCATGGTTTGCTCATGAATAGTGAAGTATGGGTCTGTTTGACAGACGAAAAGCGTTGCCTCCCATTCCAGCTCGTCGATAAAGGATATGATGTATGGTTTGGAAACAATAGAGGGAACAAGTACTCAAAGAAGTCAGGAACCCACGCTCCATCATCAATAGCCTTCTGGGATTTCTCCATGGACGAATTCGCCTTCTACGACATCCCCGACAGTATCGAATACATACTGTCTGTCACTTCACAGAAGGCATTATCCTATATAGGATTCTCCCAAGGGACCGCACAAGCATTCGCTACACTCTCTATCCACCCTACACTCAACCAAAAAATCAACTTATTCATAGCACTAGCCCCGGCAATGTCTCCAGCTGGACTTGCCAATGGAGTTGTCGACGCTCTCATGAAAGCGTCTCCGAACGTTCTCTTCTTAGCATTCGGGCGTCGAAGCATCCTCAGTTCCACACCCATGTGGCAAACAATCCTCTACCCACCTATTTTTGTCCGCATCATCGACATATCCCTCTCATTCCTGTTCAACTGGAGCGGCGTCAACATCAGCAGCGATCAGAAACTTGCGGCATATCCGCATCTCTACTCATTCACAAGCACCAAGTCCGTCGTACATTGGTTCCAGATTATCCGCAACAAGAGCTTTCAGATGTACGATGACGATGCAGGACCCTCTGTCAGCATTAATAAAAGCAACCGCTACTACAAGCCCGCAAAATTCCCCACAAAGAATATCAAAACGCCAATCGTCCTCGTTTATGGGGGTCGTGATAGTCTAGTGGATATCGATGTGATGCTCGAGGAACTCCCGAGCCATACACAAGCAATATCGATTTCCCACTATGAGCACCTGGACTTCCTCTGGGCGAGGGACGTTGCTGATCAGGCATTTCCGCACATCTTGGATGCGCTGTGGTCACATGGCTTAAATCACACGGGCTGGCCGGCTGAGAAGCCAGACTATCTCATGAAGGAAAATAACCCTGATTCTCTCCACCACGATCAAGATGAGAACGAAATCCCGGTCGAGAATTCTCTGCCCCAGTTTGCGCTGACCGAGGCCAAGATTCCGCTATCGGAACAGCCCTTGCACGCGCGATCTTCAGGCCTACCCTCTTATTCTGACGATGAACGGGTCAAACTGGCTAATGGGAATCGAGAAGATGAGAGCTGACAAGCCTTTGCTGCTTTTCTACTGTAATGATATTATTTTAAGTGACCGTCGTCCGCCCATGTCAAGAAGGGAAGGTGTTTTATTCATACCTTTCTTTACATTCTTATTTTCCCCCGTCTGTTTCCTTTTTGGCACGGATATACATAGATCTGTACAGATGGAACGGGAGTTTGCAATGGTTTTTTCACGCAGTTCAGCCATACGCAATGAGGAGTATCAATACAGGTGCGCTTCTCATTGTTGTACAGTACAGTACATACATACATACATACATACATACATACATACATACATGCACATTACAAAACTTAATTCTACTAACTAATTACCATACAACCCCCGTTGCAATGCGAATGAAGTTAGAATCAAGATGTTCTCTGCGGCCTCGCTCCAGGACATAGGTCAGATTGTGATCAGTGCTCCGTTAAGTGTACAGCATGACGACAGTCCTCCCTATCGGGATAGGGGGGAGGTTATTCCTTGTTTTCCAGGTTCCTCACAAAGACAGGGTTACCAAGCAGGGTCGTCTTCATTCAGCACTGCACAGGTACAGCGAAGGCAAGATGTGGTATTGATATCTCATCACGGACTCCGGATCGTAGTATTTATTTTTGAAAAGAACCGGAACGACGGATGGATACTACCTCTCCTCCCTACAATCTGAGCTTCAGTAGACCATGACGGGCAGGAGGCGGCAATGCCAGCGCTATCTGAGAACCGTGAGTTGGAAATGGGCCGGACGACGGGATGATCTGCGACCCGCTCGACTGCGGCGGCGGACGCACGCCTATCAAGAAGGACGTCCCCGGCTGCCCCGCCTACACCGGCACCCTGACGCGCGCGACGTCCGCATCATTCCCTCTCCTACTAGCCGTCTACCACAGAGAGCCCCAGCGACCCTACGTCGGCCACAGAGACGGGGATGGGGACGGAGGCGATGGTGACTGGCAGCAATCCTCCGGCGCCCACCACCACGGGGATGGGGACGGAAACGGGTACTGGTGGTACTGCTCCGGGCATCACGCAGCCGCCGGCTCCCTGGACGGGCGATGAGCACGAATGCAAGTGGCTCGGGTTCATCGAGGGCGCCATCTGAAACTCCGAATGCGGGTGCTTTCCTGGAGGGTTCGTTGATGGCCGGGGCTGGGGCTGCGATTGGGGCTCTGCTTTGGATGTAAGCAGCGATTGTGTGGGTGTTGCATTATTGGGGGGGAGGGGGGGGGGCAATTTATAATAGTCGGTCAAGTCGCTCGTATTTAGAGATTTTTGGAGCATAAATTCCATGATGGGCTTCTTCTCCTGGATCATTTCTCCAATTTCCCATTCGCTAGAAAAACTTCCAATCGAGTTTGTTCCTGGAGTCATCCTTTGTTATTGAGTTGACATATCTTGCCTTGCTGTAACTCCAATCAACGAGCTGCACCATAAATGTGTTTGATTGTTTAAATAACCGCATCAAGAATTTTGATGATGAAATCAAACTGAAGGAAATGCTGCAATGATGCAGTGGAACCATTCAACAACATACCCTTTTCAGTTCAACTAGTTATTTATTCAAATGCAGCCTTACTTATATCAACATTAGCACTCTCAGAATGAGATTCTTTCCTACACTTCCCAGCAAGGTGTGGGGGCATGTTCTCTCATCCTCCACCCAACACCCTTTTGTTATGCTTTACACATATTGAGAAGTCCGAAGGCATCTGGAAATTATCCACGTCCATATATCTCTCAGTATCCACGAATCTTCGGCAAAGGCAGCCGCTAGCAAAGCAGATACATTTTTTACGCTCTGAATATCAGCAGCATAACTGTGGTTCTACACTTCTAAGTACAATCATTTTGACTTCTGCTAATCTTGATGTTCAGATTCCAATGAAAAACCCTCTTTGATGTTGATGTATCTGCACTTTTGGCCGTCAACCCCTTGTCAAAAAGAAGCCATTGCTTCTGGGATCCAGTGCCAGCCATACAGAGTTACTGGTATCTTGTCCATCGGGACAGAGTGAAAGTATATCTCCATTGCTCTACTCTGTACCAATCCTGCAGATGTGCCACATCCAAAAAGCTGTTTGTCGATTGGCCCCCATCCATCGCATCGTAAACCCGAAAATTCGATCCAATACGTCAGGCAAGGATTCCTGCGTCAGAGCTGGACTGCCATTCCAGCTCTGTGGAATATGATCCCATCCACCGCCTGAAAAGAGATGACAGATGCTCCAGTGTGTCTTTTTACAAAAGAAGAGTAAGATCTTCGAGAGGAGGGAAATGAAAATATCACAGGGTGCTCGCTTGGAAATAGGCTGAGGCTACATCAAGACGAAGGAGTGCTCGTGGTAGAACGGGATAGCTGCGAAACAGCGGTGATCTGCTGTCGTAAGCTTGGAGGCGTGGGTAGTAGGAGGATGAAGGAGAAAAGAGACAATGAGTTCTAGTTATTTTAAAAAAAATCATAGAATACCTATAATAACTACAAAGAGGGGAAAGCAGCTTTCCTAGATAAGCTTGCTCAATGACCATGAAAGAAAGACGAGTTCATCTGTAAAAAACAGCTTGGTGAGCTAGAAAAATATATATGTATACTGTGTATATAACCGAGATATTTGAGAAGAATTCAGCCATGAAAGAAGAATAGAGAGGCAATAGGGGAAACTCTAACAGTTTAAATACTTTTTTCAGCCACTTCGCGTCCAAGCCCGCGTCAACATGACACCTGATTTTTTGCTACCATCGAGAGTTCTTGATGATTAGCGTCGGAGCTGAAGTTTCAACTTATCCTTTAAGCATATATTTCGTACGATAAGTTCCTTGCCGTTCAAGAATGTCCCAAAATACCTAAATAATCCTAATCACTCTGTACAGGGCCAACACACAAAGTCCAACTTTCATAAATAATGGGAGACCTCAATGGCGCCCAACGGAGCCCCCTCCAACTAAGCAGAGAGAGCATGCGGCTGTTGCAAAACGCCCGAGGAGAACCATGCGCTGCTTCCCGCTGTCCAGTGGTCTAAATAACTACTGCAGCCCGCGAGCACCACAACCGAGCACCGCAACGGCCACAAGACCGCCTTTGCAGCAAAAATC